ATATCACGAAGTTCTGCAGCACTCGTAGTATCATTTTTTTTTGCAATATCGTGAAGTCCCTGCATAGTGCCTGCACTATAAAATATCCGGTGGAAATTTTAAATGAATTAAGCTATGTCTCATGCGCAAATAAATGGTTTATTTTACATTTTACCAAATGGTATAGCGCTATAGAGTTCCGTATTTTGGTCAAGTTTTTTACTTCGTTTTACATTCCCTGTATAGGGGGATCCCGCTACACTCCTGGGCCCCCTCATTGTATGGCCAGGGTCACTTTAACTGAATTAGCCAAAATACTCGAAGAGGATCGGATAACTCACTTTTTCGTAGCATGGCAGCTCACTTGTTTCGTTTTGCTTTTGGAGCACTGGTGCGTTTAACTATATTGTAAGCATAGTATGTAATAAGCATAGTATATCTAGATTTATCGTATTTTTTGTGACGCATACCCGTTTACAATAGACGGTGACGTCACGATGCGCCGACAAAGACGGGACTGTGACGTCAACTTGACACGCGGACAAACAGAGTCCTTAAGCTGCTTCGCTCGTATAATTAAAAACAATAAGCAAATGCGCACTAGCTATTGTCGGAGAGAGAGAGAGTGAAAAAGGAAAGGCCGGGAGGTTAACCAGATATTGGCATCTGGTTTGCTACCCAGCGCTGGGGGTGGGGAAGTAGGGGCAAGAAAGAGGGGGTAGATAGAGGAAAAAAAAAAACGCACGCGCACTCATAAAAAAAAACGAAAACACACACAGGAAGGGCTTCCCAGCTACAACCGTTCAGCAAGGCCGGTCAATCGCAAAAAGTGCAGCAGCGCTTTCAGGGCCCTCTTCTGTGAAGTCGCATCCTGACGATACTGCAGAATTTCCTGCTCCGACAGAGGCTGCTCATCTAATTTGTTGAGTTCCCTGCGAAGGCATAGTCGCCGCCTACTATACGCTAGGCACTCACAAAGAACATGTTGAATTGTTTCCTCCTTGCCACAGTGGCCACAGGCTGCGATGTCGGCCATCCCAATGCGGAAAGCGTAGGCGTTGGTAAACGCAACGCCCAACCACAGCCTACATAACAGGGTCTGGTCTGCTCGGCGAAGCCTCGACGGGACTTGAAGACTTAGCGTAGGGTCAAGCGAGTACAGTCGGGCATGCTTGAAGTGCGGCTGATTCCATTGCGATGTGGTTTGCCGGCGAGCAAGTCTGCGGAGCTCTCGTGCAGCATCCGTCCTAGAAAGTGGTAGTCGCAGTTTATGATCTTCTGTGTGGGCTGAGCGGGCAGCTTGATCGGCCCGTTCATTGCCGATGATTCCGCAGTGACTGGGCAACCACTGAAATGTAATTTGGTGCCCTTTCTCAGTCAGGTGGTGTATAACCTCTGCTATCTCTAGTACCAGCTGCTCGTGTGGTCCACGGCGTAAGGCTGATAGTAGAGACTGCAGTGCCGCCTTCGAGTCGCAGAAAATAGTCCACTTGCGTGTAGGTTGATCAACTACAAATTGCAACGCGGCACGAAGTGCTGCCAGTTCTGCTGCCGTTGATGTTGTTGCGTGAGATGTCTTGAATTTAATTGTCGTGGCCAACCTTGGTATCACTACTGCTCTTGTAGAGCTGTCTGGCTGAACCGATCCGTCAGTGTAGATATGTGTGGAGTCTTGATATTTCTCATACAAGAGAAGTAGTGTGAGCTGTTTAAGAGCCGGTGACGACAAATTGGCCTTTTTCTCGACGCCAGGTATGTTATAATAATCATTGGTTGAGCGAGGCACCATGGCGGAGTCACAGGTCTAGCGGCAGGAGAGAACGAAGTTGGGATCAACTCACCATGTGCGGTCACTGTTTTGCAGTAAGATGTGCATGGTCGGACCACTGGTAGAGAGGCTAGGTGATGTCGAGGGGTTCGAGCAAGGTGTCGTATATGTGTCCTCAGCACTTCCACATTAATGTGGGTCTTGATGAGGTTGTCCCTTGTGATGGCGATAGTTGCCGCTGTTGACGCACTTTGGGGCAAGCCTAAACATATCCGGAGTGCTTGAGCCTGGACACTTTGAAGCATTCGTAGGCTTGTTTTACTTGCGTTGGTTAACACAGGTAGGCTGTACCGAAGGAATCCAAGGAAAAGAAACCTGTATAGTCGCAACATAGCAGTTGTGGACATTCCCCAGTTCTTTCCAGCGAAGAACTTGAACAAATGACAGATGCCTGTCAATCGCCTTTTCATGTATGATACATGTGAGCTCCATGAGAGGTCTCTGTCAATTATAACACCTAGGAACTTGTATGATCGGAGGTGACGTATTCTTTCGCTGTTTATCAGAACGCTGTAGTTATGCATTGGTTTGCGCGTAAATGCCACTAGTGCACATTTATCAGAGGAAATTTCCAGACCTCGTTGACGGAGGTAAATAGCAACTTGAGTGGCAGCTCTCTGAATTCGCGCTCGCAGCTGTAGACGTGTTACTGCAGACGTCCAAACGCAGATGTCGTCCGCGTACATTGACAATCTGACAGTACTTGGCAGATGCTCATTGAGAGCTATTAGCGTCAGGTTGAATAGTACAGGGCTAAGTATGCCACCCTGGGGAACACCACGGTGGCTGTAATGTAGCGAAGTGTCACCATCCTCGGTTCTCACGAAAAAAGATCGCTCAGAGAGATAGCTACGTAGCCACTGAAACATCCGACCACCCACTCCTACCTCCTTGAGAGTGGTGAGGACAGCTTCATGTGTGACGTTATCGTACGCCCCTTTAACATCAAGAAATAAAGAAGCGCAGAGACGCTTACGGCCTTTTTCGTGTTGCACGTAGCTGACCAGGTCTATGACGCTATCAATTGATGACCGGCCACGGCGAAATCCCGTCATAGCGTCCGGGTAGATGTTGTGATGCTCCAGGAAGCATTCTAGCCGTCCAAGTACCATCCTCTCCATCACTTTGCCCAAGCAACTAGCCAGTGCAATCGGGTGGTATGATGTGAGCACCAATGGTGACTTGCCAGGCTTCAGTAATGGAACCAAACGGCTGGTCTTCCAGCTAACTGGGAGGGTGCCCTCTCGCCACGAGTCGTTGTATATCCCGAGGAGGGCACTCCTCGCACACTCACCAAGGTGACACAGTGCTCTGTATGATATTCCATCAGGCCCGGGTGCTGATGTCCGTCTACACAAAGCCAGTGCTGCTTTAAGCTCATGAATAGAAAAAAATTGGTCCATGTGGTGATCGTGTGATGTCGTGCCACCACGTGAGAGCGTGGAGATGTTGGGATCTGCGAGTTGACCAGATAAGTTGGCACAGAACTCTTCTGCCACGTCGACCTCCGATCTCTGTTGAGAGAGGGCTAGGGCCTTGAATGGAGACCGCTGAATGGGAGATGTCCGGAGCCCTCTTATTGTCCTCCCCAAGTGTGATAAAGGCTTGCGAGGATCTAACGAAGCGCAGAAGGCTGCCCAACGTTGTGACTCTAGCTTGTCTATGCGGCGTTGTATCTTCTTCTGAAGACGTCTAGCGATTCGTAAATCGTCGATTGCTTTCGTGCGTCGGTACCTTCGTTCCGCCCGCCGTCGGAGAGCCCGAAGTCGTTCTAATTCCACATCAAATTCGGTTACTCTCGAAGAGCATGTGAGGGTGCACACTGTGTCTTGCACTGTGGACTTGATCACCTCTTCTAAGTCAAATGAGGTGTTCTCTTGACAGTGTTCTTCCATGAGAGATTCACCACTCTTTGGATAGTTTCGCGTACCTTGCAAGGTGATAATCCTCTGATCTTGACATATGTGAGAATGTGGTCGCTCCCATGTGTTTCTATGTCCGCAAACCATCCGGCACATCTGACGAGACCTCGAGAAACAAAAGCCAAGTCAAGGCAACTGTTGTATCCAGGGCCACGTAAAAATGTTGGGCTGCCATCATTTAACAAGCACAGCTCGTTGTCTGAAGCAAACGTTATCAGACTTCTACCCTTTGCGCTGATCTTCGGGCTCCCCCATAGCGTATGGTGGGCGTTGAAGTCTCCGATGATCACCCATGGGCCAGGAGTGGATGATAGGATGTGTCCTAGTCTTCTGTGGTCAAATCTACTTGATGGCGACAGGTATGCACCGACAACAGTGACAGTAAGACCCCTTTTCTTCACTGTTAAGCATATATATTGGTTATCGTTGTCAGGTGGTACAGGCCGAATAATGTAGGTCAGGTCACGTCGAATAAACAGCAGGACCTTGCTGTTTCGGATTCACCATGTGGCGGTGCGTCATAGATTACACACGCTTGAGTTTCCCACCACGTGTCCTCTTACTAGCGCATACATCAATGTTCCGTTCATGTTGTTTCTCACAGCGCGCGTACCTGAACACCTTTTTAAAACAAAAATTACGTACTTGTCATACAGTCAACTTGCCTCGTTTCACAGTTGTTTTCTGTGGGTGTATTGCGACGGTTTTAAGTTCTTCCATAGTAGAGTACTCTAAATGATCTGAGTCGTTATATACTTTTTTTCTAAGCACGCAGGTTTATTTGTTGTATCAAATATGATATAAATGATTTGGTCTGTTTTATTATCAATACAGCTGTATATACTGTTATGCGTTGGATTTCGTGACGGGCTAGATTTAACACTTCCAAAATGACGACAGAATATGTCTTGAGAGCGCTGTTTGACACCTTAATATTGCAGCTGCATGCGGTAATCTGCCTCGTGCACATTAATGGACCCATACGCAGCGTTTTTGTTAATTTTCTGCAGTTTCGCTTTTTCTCTAGCGTGCGTAAGTGCAAAAATGCATTTGATTAATGCGCTTTCCAACAACAAGAAAATAGCACGATGTTTTGAAAGTGAGGATTTGGGTCCCGCAAGAAATGAGCGGAGAAATGAGCTCCTTTCTGCGCAAACAACTTCGCGGTGGCAGTTCAACTTGTAGGACCTAATTTGATTTTGGGCGGGTGGAGTTATAATTGCGTTACGTATGTTTTCTTTTTTAATCTTCTTCCTTACCTTCGGGTACCACATCGAATACCAGCTTATCAAGGGTTAAAACCTATGATCCACCCAACAACAACAGCAACAAAAACAAAAGAGTAAAGTGAATCGAATATGTTATTCCAGAGAAGAATTACAATGAGCTCCAAATGAGGCGTCCAAGAACGTGAGTAATTTTTGAAAGTCCGAATAGCCCCCTGCCGTTCTGAAGAGGTGGGCTCGTTGCGCCCGCTGTAATGCAATTAGGCTTCCCGACCGAAATTACGAAAGCAGACGTAAGCTGCTTTTCGGCCATCACACATGTCCAATTTCGTGTTGAATATTGTCGAATTATCGACCCTCGTCCCCGTCTGACTCACACTGTTCTTCTAGTGTTTTTGTTATGCCAGACGGCAGTGCGCTTTTCGTAAATCGATATGCATGTCATACAGACATCATCCGACTTTTGCGAAAAAAAAAAACTGCTTTTAGCAGCTGCTCCAAGAGGGGGAGAAACTGTCTACGAACAGAATTGTTTTCTATCATCTTATATTTTTCTCACCCTTTTCCCCAGCACAGGGTAGCCAGCCAGTCTAAGAACTGGCTAACCTCCCTGTCCTTCCGCTTAATCTTTCCTTCTCCTCCTCCTCCGGGTTTCAGCTATAGTTGGTGCAAGTTCATAACGGAACACACTTTTGGTGCATGTTTTACAAGAACACAGCATCCATTCTGTGTGTGTGTGTGTTTTTTTGCGTTGTGTCCTCGTTCATCTGAAGATAGAAGTTTTCTAGCGCAAATCAACACATCAAATCAAATCAAATCAAATCAAACTTTATTTCAGGAATGCATACATTTACATGAATAAAATTCTACAGTACAGAGGAGGTCCCGAAGTAAGAAAACTGTCGGGGGGACCTCCGTTAGAGAATAAGTCAAGTGCGATAACAATGCAGCAAGCAGTGAAAAACACTGTACGAATTAAGCAAATATTGGTTAAAATTTCATAACAACAAGGCAAGAAAAGTTCTGTGTAACAGCAAGTGGTATAGTGAGTAAAAGAAATACTAAAATTAGGAGTAAGGCACGACGGCAGAGTTTAGAAAACACGTTTTGTGATTAGGTACTTTTTAAACATTTTGCGAAACGAATAGAATGTGGGACATAACTTTATTCCAAGTGGTATGTTGTTCCATACGGATACACCTGTAAATTTAAGAGTTAGTTTTCCATAATTGCTACGCACTTTAGGGAGAAGGAAATTGTGACAGGCTGAAAACCTGGTTTTATTAGTATTTACAAGATGTTGTGTGGATAGCCCTGAAACACATAGACCATGATAAATGAGGCGGTACATCAATATAGCTAACTTTACAGTGAAGAAAAGATTAATTGGAAGCACGGAAAAATAAACAAAGAGTGGCGTAGAAGGCGATTGAAATGGAGTGAAGGCGATCAGACGTAGTGCCCGTTTCTGAAGATGTAGAAGGGGCTCCAGGTGACTGGCATATGTATTACCCCAGGATGAAATGCAATAGGAAAGATGGCTATGAATATATGCATAGTATAATGATAAAATAATGCGTGACTGAAAATAAGGGCGGGCTTTAATGAGAACATGAATGCCAAAAGAAGCTTTTTTAATATTGAGAGTACATGATAGTTATATTTCAAATACTTGTCTAGTATAACGCCTAAGAACTTCACATGATCCGATACCGAAATAATATGGTTGTTAAGAGATACGGAAACTGGTGAGGGAAATGTGTTCTGTGCGGATGAAAACACCACAAATGTAGTTTTAGAGGGATTTATAAAGATGATTGTTAAAACACCATTGATAAATATTACAGAGATCGGAGTTTAAGCAACTTTCAAGTTCAGCAGTTGTTTTCTGGGATGTAAAAATGGTAGTGTCATCGGCGTAAAGAAGACAGTTAGTATGGTTAAGGGAACTAGGTAGGTCTTTAATAAAAAGTAGGAATAGAAGGGGGCCTAAGATTGAACCTTGAGGGACGCCCATGGTAACTGGCTTGGTAGATGACGCAATGTTATTGACATAAACTACCTGTGAGCGATTTGTTAAGTAATTGCGAATGAACTGCAAAGCGGGACCAACAATTCCGAAAGATTCAAGTTTACACAGAAGGATCCGGTGGTTAATTGTGTCGAAAGCCTTCGTGAGGTCAATAAAAACTGCCTTAGTAAGTAATCCATCGTCTATGGCTTGTCACATGGACACATGGACAGACAGTGAGCACAGGACTGGTGCTAACTTCCAATTGCGTTTAATGAAGGTACTAACGTTTATATATACATAACACAAGAGCAGCAAAGGGCATGACTCTCGCGATAATCAAGCCGAACACTTAGGGTCAGCAAGAAATCATATATAAATATATTGCATCACAAGAACGCTGCATGATTTTTGCGGCTACACGCAGGTTTAACAGACTGCATATTAGATACTGCTGGAGGAAGGAAAAAATCACAGCATAACCACGGAGTGAATGATGATGCGTGGGGCGAAGTGTCGGTCCGTGCTTCTGTCCGTCCATTCATTCTTGCTTTCGTCCATCCGCACGACCATCCATCCGTCCATCCATGCGTCCGTTTCTCTGTCCATGCGTCCGTCCGTGGGTCCGTTCATCCATCTGCCCATCCTTTCGTGCGTTCATCCGTCCGTACGTCCACGCGTCCAGCCATCCGTCCTTCAACCTGCTAGTCGATCTGTCCATCCGTCCGTGCCTCCATCTAGTGAACACTCCAAGTACCGCTATCTCATCTCGCATCCCGTGTGGCACATAGCCGCTTCGCGCATCCGTCCATCCATCCGACCGTCTGCTAGCCGGTGGCTACGTACGACCACAATAGAGGAAGGACAGACCCACACCCTAAGAAGCTTCGGCCATAAAAATTGCGCCAAAGCTATCTTCAGTTATATCTGCAAGGGTGGGGATGTGGGCTCGTAGGTGCATTTCGATATGACAGTACCTTAGCACTGGTGAAGACGAAGACAACCAGGCCAATCGACGCAACAGCATCCTTGTGTCCAGTGTCCCCTCCTTCTTGCCCTTGGCATTACCATGGGGCTCTATGATACTGTATTTTAAAGAAACTGTCACACAAGCTTTGGCAAGTTTCTTACACCAAAACTGCACTATCTCTTCGCTCTGCAACTGAGGAAAATTTATCAGCATGCTCAAGTGCGTGAATTTTTTGTCGGCTACTCTTCTTCCCCATTGATTCTCATGCACTGACTCAGCGCACAACTGTGGTGCACTGTTGCGAAAAGCCTTGTCGTTCTTACTTCTACAAGCTTCCACATACATCAAATGATTTGAAGTGTCTTCGCAAGCTTTGCAGTGACAAATATAGTTGTAATACTGTTCGGACTTTATTAACCGATAAATTAGCTTTACACGGGCTTGAGCGACCGTTCTACGACCGGATCTACGAGTAAACGTTACTCACTATTCTGCGAGTGGATCGCAAATAAGGAAGCTTGGAAGCCTACCACGCGCAAATCTTTCACATGTGAGCCGAGTTAGTCGTTAGGGAAAACATGAAACGGGCTCCCAGTAGAAGTTCACCATTGATTTCGACCCACTCTTCCGAAGAGGCTTTCCAAAAACTTCCATATTAGGCTTCCTCCTTTCTGCGATTTCAAAGCATCGGCTTCAAGCTCTTCCATGACGTTTTCAGCGGAACAGTTAAGTATTACTGGATATGTAGACTTGTCGACAGCCAATTAACTGTACCGGTTTTCGTCCGTTCTCGAAACCAGTGGGTAGATGACGCAGTCCTCATAATGGAACCTTCTAATGCACGTGATGAGTGCTTTGTACACTAACCGACAGGCAGGGTAATGAATGCGATATGATTGTTCATCTCTAGGTGTTATTGTCCTAGATTTGCAACTCCAGTGCCACTTACATAGCATCGAGTTCCTCGACGCTGCATTACCAAGTCACCACTTTGCACAGAACCAATGAATGTTTCCGGTAACATAACATTCATACAGCCAACATTCGCTATTGAAACAACACAACTTTTATTTCTTTTTTTTAAAACAAGATAACCTTTTTGAATACAGTGTAGCTTGTGTCCCACATGTCATTGGCTCCTAAGAGGAAGACTAGCAGATAGGGACTGGTCAATTACTGATGTGAAAATAATCGACTGACTGCCTACATGTTATTCTGACTTTGAGATGATCTACAACAATTGATCTGCTCTTAAGGATGTAACCGAATCTTTATCTACTCCAGGAAGGGAATTCTATTGGAGTTCATACTATACGAACACTCTGCCGTTTTTATGGATGAGTAAGAATTATTTTTCTCTCTGCAGGTAGTATATCTGCGCTATGAATTTGAATATATATATATATATATATATATATATATATATATATATATATATATATATATATATATATATATATATATATATATATATATATATATATATATATATATATATATATATATATGTCTTTGTTAAGGTATGGGATATGGCACAACCGGAGAGTTGTGTCAACAAGGATAAATATATTTCCCAACAGTTTCGGGAGAACCCCTCCCGAAACTGTTGGGAAATAAATATGTTTATTCTTGTTGACAACGCTACCGTTGTGCCATATGCCGTACCTATATGCCACTTGCTGTAGGAACTGTTAAGCAGACCACGCCCCCAAAAGATAAGGTTCTAAGAAAATATATATTTTTATGCCTTTCTGAATATATAAAATGGCGGTCACATCGCTTTGCATTACCGCTGTCATATGCTTCTAGATTATAATTCGCAATGATAAAAATTGTTTTCTGGCCCCGTTTAGTAATGACGTCCGGAAACTATCTCCAGTTCTGTGAGCTTCATGCATATGACAGTTCCCACCTTGAAATATCTTCGGCATACGAACTACGAATTTAAGTACTTCCGTACTTATATACGTGCATGAACAGGAGTAGAATATATTTGAATCATTTATTTCACTATTTAAATAATTCGTGGACCCTTAGGCTTCGCTTTTTGGAGTTCAACGCGATTATTACGCCCTGTCCCTAGGGAGTCTTTCATCTACTTAGAGCATACTTTTTGCTATATTCTATTCCACGAGAACTTAAAATTGTGAATTACTACAAAGTAACCAATACAGCTGAGAGTGGCTTGTGTCAGTGAGAGAGA